GATCTTCATGCGGTTGGAAGTGCGCATCCTATCCCAGAACTCTTTGCATTCCGGTGGTACCTCCAGCGCGGGGGCAGGTTGCCCCGCAGACCGCGGGGCAGCCTTTGGCGCTGCAGGCGCTGCTGCACTCGCTGCCGATGCGGTGGCGCCAACAGGTCTTCTGGGCGTCCTTGGAGTTCCTTGCGGGGTACTGATATTGAAGTCCTGTTGCTTCTTCTCCTTGGTGTTGTAGGACTCGGCAGCCTTACCCCTGGGCACTGCTCCTGGCACCTTTGGTGCGGTAGCAAGGAGCTTCCCTGTGCGTTGCGTGGAGGAAGCATCCCTTGTCCTTCCTTCCAGATTAGGCTCCCATCCTGTCCTGTGCGTCCGACCTGGTGTAGGGCCGCGACGCGGCACAGGCTCTTCTGGAGTAGGCGTACTGGTGCCCTGAAATTTGGCTGCTGCGGCGGCCACTGCTGGTCCTCTGGAACGTCGGCGATCAGCAGGTTGTCCCGCATGTCGCTGCTGCTTACTGTCCCCAGGGTTAGGATCATCTAGGCTCTTCCTCTTCTTTTCCTTGAGCTTAAGATGATCAGGACCAAGAGATTGGCTAGATGAATCAGAAGACGAGGGAATATCGATCATCTCTAGCTTCGGCTTGGGAGTTGCCTTTGCCGTAGCTCCTGCCGGCGCCCCGGATGCATATCGTAAAGGGCTTCGGCCAGGATTCAGATCGATACCACCTGGTTTCCTGAGGGCCATAGTCTTAATGGGTACCTTGTGTCCAAGTGTGCCATGTGCAACTACGTACTTCTCGAAGTTCCGTCTTTCGACGATGCGCGTCTTTATCCAGCCAATAGACTGACAACGATAAACAAGCTGCCTCCCAGGAGATAGATCCAATTCTCTGGTGACAGCGTCCTCGGGGTCGATCGGAGTATCCGCAACACGCGCAATGTCTGTAATGCCCGAGTCGCTTGGCTCACCGCCGTCAGGGGCAGCGTCCGTAGGATCATCTTCTTCAGCAATTTCATCATGTTCCTCTTCACCAGCTTCTCGTTGGCTTTCTTCTTCTGATTCATGATCAGCAGGTTTCCCCGCGCGCCACTCGCGATTGAACTGCGCCAGATAGTGAGTAGATATCAAGTTCTGCCAAATGGCTTTTGTCTGAGCTATCTCTTCACGGGTGGCGGGGTCGTAATCCTTTTCCGTCAGCCGCTCACGATATGGCGTTTTGTCGGGGCCAGTACAGTGACCCCGACCATCTCCCTGAGACCAAACCCACGGTGTTCTTTTGAAAGCCGGGCTTCTTGATGGGCGTCTCATGGGGCAGCCGAGCCTGTAATCAGCATAACTGGGGCATGCACAGCAAACGCCTCTGTAGAGCTTTCGATCCTCGATGATGGCCCGTTTGAGATCGCGCTTGATCATCCTTTCCTGCGATCTGGTCTGCCCCCCCCTTGAACGAATGATTTTGCCTTCAACACCTCGTTTGCACTGACGAAGAGAGAATGCCAGTGCCGGATTTGATGCTCGCTCCAACCCATTCCCAACCAGTATTCCATTTGGTCTGCGGGTGTGTGCTGACGAGCCAATCCAGCTTCAGCGTAGCCTTTCAAACGTTGTACTTCACCATCTGGATATTCGCCTCCTCGATGTCGGTCATCCTGAGGCGGGTTTCCCCGCAGACGGCCCTTCCTTGGGGGAGTATGCGCTCTTGTCGCCTGCCACGGCGGGCCCCTTGCGGTTCCCGCATCAGAGGGAGGAGGACGGCGACCACCGCTCGAACGAGCACCGCTAGAGACGCTAGAGCGGGCTCGCGCGCGATCTGGTGAGGGACTGGGAGCTCGACCGCGACGGATCATGCGGTCATCATCTCCCTTTTCGTCCTCCTCCCCCATTGGGGAGAGACTTGGGTCGTCATGCTATCTCTTCCTTTCAAGGGTAGGCGGCTTGGCCATCGTCTCGGGCTGCTGGCGGACCGATTTGGCACAGCAGAAGCACACTGAAAGTCTTCATTGTGCCCAAGCTCCGATTGAAGACCTTCAGATAGATACCAGCGTCGCGCGGGTTTCCCCGCAGTGGATCTTCACCGAATAATTCCGTGTTTGTCGGATTTCCAATCACCCGAGGATAGAGCATTGCATGTATTTCCCCTTCTGTAGCAGGAATGGTAGAATCTGAGTCCGCGGGCGCCCCCGCCATGCCGAAGTCACCTCCGACGGGCATGTGGACGTTCTCGGCAAACTCAATATCTGCAGGTTGCCCCGCGATGGGTACACCCAGCCACTCTGCCAAGTCGATGTCGCTGTGGCCAGCGAACGCCTCCTCGAACAGCTCGCTGGCGTAATGTTCGAGGGTCACGCTGGCACTTAGATACCTGGCAGCAATGAAATGAACAATCGTGGCTGAGCCGTCGGCAGGGTCGGCTAGCACCGACCCCCAATCAACATACGGTATGTCGGAGTCCGTGTGAGCCAGATGTGTTGACGGACCCCTGCCTCTTCCATCACCTTGGGCATTCGCGTCGGAAATGTTGCGCACTGTGACATCTGTCGCACTCCATGGTTTTACCGTTGGCATCATTTGGGTTTCTTCGTCGCCATTTACTTTTACCTGATGGTTGCTTGCAGTTTCTGCCAGTACCTAAAAACATTTCCTCGTGCTGAGGTCCAGTGAGGGACGCTAGGAATGCGAGTATGCCTCTACCATGCAGTCGCCGACGCTTACCTTTGCCTGTACTTCGACCCTTGCCTTTTCCTTTAAAGGACCGTCGCGCAATACGTCTTGCCCTTCTGACTGGTTTCTTCATGAACCTCTCGGCCACCGACGCCTGTGTTTTTGATCGCCCAAAAATAACCATTGAGCTTGCTGCTCTTCCGTGAGGTATGTAGGCATATCAGAGCAGTCCAAGGCGGCAGCTTCATCATCGGAAGACGTAGCCGCATCGGTACCGGAGTCGAAGTCGGACTCGGCGGGTTGCCCCGCCGAGCCCAGTAGGGCCATAGTTTGCATAGGGGAAGCCGCGTCGGGCGGCCCCCCCAGATCTGGCCCAGGGGCCTTGCAACCCCGAAGCCGCTCCACCATTCTGAGCCAACAGTGTAGTGGTTTCAGTTGGCGGCGCATCGTCGTTCCCGACGTTGTTAGCAGGTTGCCCTGCGTTGGCCTCTGCGTGGAAAGTCTCGGTTCGATGACCGTGGCTCAAGATTCCACCAATATTGCCAGGGGTCGTCTCAGCCATGTGAGCATATGACCGCACACGTTCAAGTAGAGCGTCACATTGTTGTTGGTCTCTCGGCATGTGGTGGTTCAGAGGCTGCAGGAGTTGTTGTGCACGCGACGTCCCCACTCCAAGAGCTCTGAATATAATTATTGCTATTATTTGGAAGTTGGGGATGTTGAAGCTGGCGGTGTCACCTTCGTAGCGGGCTATTTCGAACCGTGCTAACGTTTGGTCGATACGTTCACCCGCATGGACTCTACAGTCAATGAGAGCCGTGCCAGAGTTGAGTTTGCGTTCCTCTTCTAGGTTCTCGAACTTCGTACTTAAGAGGAACATAATGTAGGTGGCGCCGTCAGTGTGGCGACCGCCTATATTGACGCCGCAATTGATGACTGCTGGGGGGACTCTCATGGCCATGGTCCGTGCGAGCCCTCCCAAACCGCGCTGCAGTGCGGCGGCCTGCGGGGTGGGCGTCATGTTGCCTGTGGTCACACTGATCCAGGCATGTACTTTGCGGACGAACTCGCGAAATGGTTCTTGACCGGCAGGATCCCAACGGGGGCCAGTCGTTCTAGTGTCGTCTCCGCCCCGCATATGTCTTACCGCACGCCCAAGAGCGACCCAGATGAGCCCAAATATAGTAGACCCAATCCAATGGCCTCGTAGGTCGTAGTCGGATGTAGTCGGAGGGGACTTATGTTTTGTCGTCGTAAGTCAGCATGGGGTCGGAGGCGGCAGTATATCGCATCGCATGTTTCCATGCATTATGTCTTCGAAGAAATTTCCAATTGGAGTTTGTGGATGGACTTCAGGAGTGTAGTAGCGCAGGGATGTAGGATGTGAGTAAGAGACCTCCGCTTGAACAGACGTATCGCTGCAAGCTTCCTTGCGGTACTGCGTAATTATATACTATTCCGCGCAATCCCACTGCACCCTGATGTTCCACCATGTCCATAGTCCACCAGATACTGCCGTGGATGGTGAGGAGTAGAGCCAGAGCTGACCACCATAGGCCAGTTCCGCTACCAAGTTTGATGGCGGCTGGAAGGCCCAGCCAACAGTTTCGACCCAGGCGAAGCCAAGCTCCTACTCTGTTGTACCGTAATAACGATAGTCCATGCCATCTCAAACAATAGGAAGATTATTTTGGTCTTGATGGCGGTTGTGTGCCTCGCGGTGAGGCACAGTCAAATCTGGGCGGCCGGCCGCTTGAGCCGACGCGGCCGCGGGCGCACGCTCGCTTCCACTCCTTACGTCTTTCAGCTCGCTTTAGAATGTTGGGCCCAGACCGTTCTTGCGCTGTCATTTTCGGCGGAACCATTCAGTAGTCGTTTTGTCGTTTTCTCTTCAGGTCCGTTTGCGCTGACAGTGATGCCCTTTTGACCGCCGTAGTGACAACGTTCCCGTCTATACTATGCTTGACTCGCGACAGCGGTGTCCTCGTTTGGTCAGCGGAGGAAAGGAGGGGAGACACCCCGCGGCTGGTCTGAGAAATGAGGAACAGGAGAAGAGCATCATCACGAGGAGGAGGAGGAGCAGGAGGAGGAAGAGCCCCGGGAGGAGGAGGGCGAGCAGAAAAGCCAGAGGCTTCGTTACGGATTTGTTTCGAGAGTTTCTTGGGTCCTCTTGGGGCGTCTTGGGGATCTCTTGGCAGTCCCTGGGGCCTCTTGGAGCCTCTTCGGGGTCTCCTGGGGGTTTCTTTTGGGCATCGTTGGGGCATTTTGGGGGCATCGAAGGAGGGGGAGCAAGAGAAGGACGTAGGGGAACGCCGGGCGGTCTGGCCAGCGGCGGGCCCCAGGATCGGCTTCCACGGTGACGAGGCCGCCCCGGGGGGGGGGCGCCAGGAACAGCCTGTGAGGAAGGCAGCCTGTGATGGAAAGGGCAGCTCAGAGGGGCGGCAGGGTAGCGCCAGGAAGGGCCTGGAAGGATGGAGGAACAGAGGAGGAGGAGGAGGACTGAGGAGGAGGAAAAGGAGGAGGAGGAGGAGGAGGAGGAGGAAAAGGAGGAGGAGGAGGAGGACCAGTGTAAGCCCAAGACTCATCAAAGATGTTGTCAGGATCATTTCCACTACGGGAATTGCTTCGACGGGGGACAACCGTGTGAAAATGTTGAAGCGCACCAAAACACCATTCTTAGGACTTCAACGCCACGAGTGAACCTGACTGTTACGTCTTGGCGGTCCTGATTCGTGCCAGAACCCCATTTCTGGGACTTCAACACCGCGAACCAACGTAACCGCTGCGATTGACAATCCAGAATCGCTCCAAACGGCAATTTCTGGCACGTTGATCATGATAATCATGAACAGTCTTTGCACATGTTTAAGGCGAGTGTGCGCGTTGCTAAGGCGATAGCCACATGTTGACAAAACATGAACCGCACTCAGTCCGTGAAGCTCTTGCAATTTGTTTGAGCGACTGTGCGCAGCGCTAAAGCGAGAGCCACATTTTGAAATTCAATTGCCATCAATCCGTGAAGCTCTTGCAGCGCTAACGCGAACGCCACATGTTGAAAAACAATTGGCCTTAACCCGCGAAGCTCTTGCATCTTTTAGAACGGATGTGAGCAGCGCTTAGACGAGAGCCACAGTTTGAATATGTGTTCAATTCGTGAAGCTCTTGCATTTGTGAGAACGAATGTGCGCAATGCTAAGACGAGAGCCACATTTTGAAAACCAGCCGACCTCGCTCAATCCATGAAGCCCGTGCATTTGTTTAACAAGGATGTACACGGCGTTGAGACGAGAGCCACATGTTGAAAACCAACCGTTTTGAATATATGAAGCCTTGGGATATGTTAAGACGAATGTGCCCGGCGCTATGGCGAGAGCCACATGTTGAAAGTCACCCGCCTTCAATCCGTGAAGTTCTTGGAGTATGTTAAAACATGTGCGCAGCGCTGAGGAGGTGACCACAGTTTGAAAACCAGTCGCCTTCAATACATAAAGCCCTTGCAACGTTGAAAACGAATGTGCGCAGCGCTGAGACGAAAGCCACATTTTGAAAGCAAGCCGCCTTCAATCCGTGAGCACTTGCAACATTTTAAGACGAGTGCGCGCGGCGCTAAGGCGAAAGCCGCATGTTGAAAATCAACCGCCTTCAATCCATGAGGCTCTGGCAATTTTTGAATCGAATGTGCGCGGCGCTAAGGCGAGAGCCACAGTTTGAGAACGACCCGCCCTCAATCCGCGAAGCTCTTGCATTTTTTAACGATTGCGCGCGGCGCTCGGACGAGAGCCACATGTTGAAAACCAATTGCCTTCAATATGTGAAGTTCAATCCGTGAAGCTTTCACAGATGTTTCAACGAATGTGCTCGGCGCAAAGGTGAGAGTCACATGTTGAAAACCACCCACCCTCCGTATGCGAAGCTGCTTACAATTTTAAGCATCAGGGCCATAAGTGGTGAGGAAGTCTCAGGCGAAACGCCCGGCCCGCCCTTCGACCAGCCTCGAAGTGTGACAGGGAGGGATTACGGATAAGGAAAAGGAATGGGGGAGGAAGAGGAGAAGGAGGAAGGAGGGAGGAGGTCGGTCGGATCGGGCATTGATTCGGCCCTCGTGCCGTGATGGGGATTGGCCCACACCATGTGCGCCAGGGGCAACGTTACTCTCATTCCGCACGCCACCCCTCAGAGCGAGGCGGGGCACCCAGCTCTGAACCCGAGCTTGCCATGGGCCACCAGGCCCGCCCGGCGGAAAGGCGTAAGCCTCTGAAGCGAAACGAAGCAGCAGCTGGCCTGCGGAACAGTCGGAGGGAGGAGAACGCAGGAAAACAATGCAGCAGTACGCCCAGCTCACCTTCAAGACACCACCAAATGGATGAGCAGGCCCGCGCTTGGAAAGAATATGGACCTTATTGGTACTGCACAGCGATCGGCACATGCTCAAAATAGGTTGACGTATGGGTTCACGTCTCGGTTCAACCACTGATTGCGTGCTCGCCGGAGTCCGTCCGGCAGGCTGGCATTCCAGAGGGTCGCAACGACCCAGGGCAAGCAAGACAACGAGCGCCCCGAGCTTCGGCCACGCTGGCAGCCACACGTCCTGGAGGCCGTCGGTCGCGGATAGGCCAGAACATCTAAAATTACCAGAATTTGCGCGCGCAACGGGCCTGACATGTCATGGATTCGGTGCGTCACGTACCAACAGAGACCCCACCCCAGGGAGGTAGACGATCGTGCTAGGGAAGCACCGTCAGCGACAGCTTTGCGATAGGCCCCTCCATGGTCGAGCCCAGCGCCCACGACGGCGGAGCGTTGCGCAACACCGTAACAAACAGGATGTCCTGGACGCTGCTGCACGCGGATGGGCCGGTACAGCCGAGCGCATTCGGCGGCTCTGCAATGTCACGGAGATGGTGCGACGCGCGCCACAGCGATGCCAGTCGGAAGCCCCGCCAATGGAAAAGTATATCTTTGTTTGGAAATATTCGTGCCCGCACGCCTTGCAGACGCCACCACATGGAGGAAGAAGCCCGTGCTTGACTAGAAAACTGACCTCCAGCCAGATTAACGTCATCACTTCTGGGCCACATAGTATTGTAGTGGCCTCCGGCCAGTGCCGCCGATCCAGGGCGCTCCGGATGATGATGATGATGATGATGATGATGATGATGATGATGATGATGATGATGATGATGATGATGATGATGATGATGATGATGATGTGTTGGATGATGATGATGATGATGATGATGATGATGATGATGATGATGATGATGATGATGATGATGATGATGATGATGTGTTGGATGATGATGATTCAATGATGATGGTTGATGATGATTGATGGTTGATGGTTAATGATGATGATGATGATGATGATGATGATGATGATGATGATGATGATGATGATGCTGATGCTGATGCTGATGCTGATGCTGATGCTGATGATGATGATGATGATGATGATGATGATGATGATGATGATGATGATGATGATGATGATGATGATGATGAGGAGGAGGAGGAGGAGGAGGAGGAGGAGGAGGAGGAGGATGTGACGATGGTGATGGTGATGGAGAAATGGAGATGGTGATGATCCCACCCACCCCCCTCACCCTCTTTCCTCTCTCCTGTCCCACCCCCTCTCTCCTGTCCCCCGCCCCCCCCTCTACAATTCCACAATATGAAAATACTCTCCCACTTCCCCTGATGGCGTCCCGAAGATATCCGACCCCCCCCCGCGTATTGTTTTTTTACACACAGGATTCCCGGGAAACGGGTTTTCCCCTGCGTTTTTTTCAAAATGCTGCTCTCGCTGAGGCGCCGGCCTCATTTCTGCTCCCGAATCGTTCCGAATCGTGCTCCCGCTGCAGCGTGGGCCTCATTTTCGGATCGGTGTTTGGCCTCCGTCGTTCAGGATGACGTTCTCGCCCCAGCGCGGGCCTCTTTCTCGCGCGCCCATCCGCCCGCCACCACCGCGCCGCACCACAACCACCACCGCCACCACCACCACCACCACCACCACAACCACCACCAGCACCACCACCACCACCACCAGCACCACCACCACTACCACCACCACCACCACCACCACCACCACCACCACCACCACAACCACCACCAGCACCACCACCACCACCACCAGCACCACCACCACTACCACCACCACCACCACCACCACCACCACCACCACCACCACCACCACCACGCACACACGCACGCACGCACGCACGCGCACCACCACCCACTACGCACGCGCGCGCGGAACCACAGGTCCGCTACGACACGCGTCCGCGGATAGAGAAAATCAGCGCCATGGTAGGGGATGGGAGGGAGGGGTAGGACGTCAGATATGACGCGAGCGCACCTAGCTTGCCTTTCCCCCTCCCTTCCTCCCTCTCTCCTGTCCCCCCCCTCTCCCCTGTTCCCCCCCCGCCCCACTCTCCCCCCCCTCTCCCCTGCCCCCCCCTCCCTCTCTCCTGTTCCCCCCCCTTTTTCCTGTCCCCCCCTCTCTCCTGCCCCCCCCTCCCCCCCCTCTCCTGCCCCTCCCCTTTCTCCTGTCCACCTCCCCCCCTCTCCCTCCCCCCCTCTCCTGTCCTCCCCCCCACCCTTCTCTCCTGCCCTCCCCCTCCTCTCCTGTCCCCCCGCCCCTCCTCTTATCTGTCCCCCTCCCCCCCCCCCCTCTCTCCTGTCCCCCCCCCCTCTCCCCCCTCCCCTCTCTCCTGTCCCCCCCCCTCTCTCCTGCCTCCCGTTCCAGGACGTCCCAGACGTATGATGGGTTCCATCCTCGACAGTACCTGATGTGTTTAGACCAGCAGTTGGGGGTATAGCCAGGCTTCTTCGATATATCGAGCAGCACGGGCAGTTCCCCTCTGTTTTGCCGGCGGTCTTTACCTGTCTCATTCCTAAGCACAAGCCAGGTGCGGTCAAGTTTCGTGGAATCGGTGTGTGCGTGTCTCTGTTTCGAGTAGATGGCAGGTTTCGTCAGAATGTAGCTCGCTCCTGGGAACGTTCGCATCGGCTTCGCTGCTTGTGCCACCAGAAAGGAGCTTCCATTCTTGAGTTCGCGTTTGTGCAAAATTCCAGGGCTGAATCGGCTAGCGTGTCTGACCAGGAGATTCATACTTCGGCTGTGCTGTATGATATGAGTAGTTTTTTACGACCAGATCGATTTAAGTCTCCTCTGGACCAGGGCCGACGAGTCGGGGTTTGACATGCAGGTCCTCGCCGTGATCTGCAACATGTACCGTGCGAAGAGGTTCTTCCAGATGGAAGGCTATGCTCTGGAATCCGTATTCCCCCTGCAAGGGATTCTGGCTGGGTGCCCTTTTGCCACCTTTTTGGTTCAGGTTTCTCCTGTGGGCCAGCTTCAAAGC